CGCATTGGGCATTTTGCTTGGTGAGTTTTTATTAGACTAGAACATTATACTATAAAAATGTAAGTACATTGTACGGTTATTAGAATAGTAGTTCAGATAAATAAAGACAAGATTGCTTTAAAAAAAAAATAATAACTAGGCTGATAAATATAAAATCTATTACAGTAATTAATTATAACATAGTACTAGTAAATTAATAACTAGGCTGATAAATATAAAATCCATTACAGTAATTAATTATAACATAGTACTTATCAGATCTCTATGAATAATATTATTATTATATAAAAATAAAAGCCCGAGTGCTATTTCCTTAGCAATGCATAGTTTATCTGCCCATTGTAATTTTGGAAATTTTGCCATTAGGTATTTTCATAAAGTTCTATTATCAGCGTATTCTAAAACTATATTATAATATCTGTTGCTATCTATATATTAGATATGATAAATATTATTATTTGTTAAACATCTTATTATATAACAACTTTAAAAATTAAAATTGCTTGTTTACCTTTCGTCACTCCATAGAACAAAATAACGTTTAGATGGCAAGAAACAATTCATAATAGTTTAAACTAATTACTTATATGAATTATAAATTTAGTATTCTATATTTAGTAACAAGATATCATTAAGTTCTAATATAACAAATAATACTTCATTAATAAAATCTTTAATGGCTCTTTCATCGATGCTTGCATCAACTTTAAGACATTTAAGAGCAACTGTTAATTCGCTGTCTCTCCACTCGTATTTATGAACCTTTCCAAAACCTACACTACCAATCAAAATAGGGTTAGTGAATTTATTATATTCGATATAATTAATATGCTTATCAAAAATAGCCTTTTCAAGCTATTTATCTGATATGTTTGCCATAGTTTTTTGTATTGTCGAAAAACAATGTATGGTGAGTATACTACTATATTCTTGAAAATAGTTTTTTTACATATGTATATACGAACTACATTCCTCAGCATTTTAATTGTACCAAATCTAAAGTTCAGCAGCGTAGAGTATGCCTGATATAGAAATTTTTGTATATTACAGGGTTGATCAATTGCATCGCTTCGAAATTATATAGGCCGTTGGAAATAGTAATAACTACCCAAAACTTCAGGACTAAAGGAAAATATTAGTAATCACCAGAAAGACCATGTACAAATAGAAGAAAAAATTTTTATGGTACTTTGTGAAATTAAGTCTCTTGCCTTGTATGTACATATATGCTTTAACCCTCAGTGAGCTTGAATAGAAATAATAAAAGTAATAGAAATAATAGAAGTAATAGAAACAAGTTATGCACCTGCCCATGTGCTGGGAGTTTGTTTTTAATATTTCTTGTTAAGGTTTATTGGTTGACAAGAATGTTCTTTCATACAAACTAATTGTGCAAAGCAAATCGAATAAATATACAGATGAAAATTTAATAATATTGCAACTGAGTAAGGTACCCTCAAGCACTTCACTTAGTGGATCGGAAGTAAAATTTTAATTAGTAAATGAGTTACCATTTTGATGAAAAATTAAGCGAGACACAAACCACCTTT